TATCCATGTTTATTGGGCAGTGCATTTGAGAAATGTCCAGTAAGTACACTCAGTCTCCCTGTGTTTACCTGACACTATGTTGTAGGAGAGTGCAAAAAGAGCTGGCCCGTGGTCTGTGTTCAACCATGACTCCTCAGCACCAGGGAGCCTCAGGACATCTATTAAACACCAGCTCATCTCTGTGAAAGCTCTGGCCTGGATTTTACACCTATTTAGCTCAGTCACAGAGTCATATCAACTCTTACTTTGGATGCAGTCACACTAGTACAAAGACCCTGTATTAGCATTGCTCATGCTCATTTTACACAAGAAAGCTAGAGCAGTATAGCCATCTTTACGTGGTCTGCTTTCTACATGAGGCCCCATTTCAGACCCTGCACTGTGAAGAACTGAGTAGATACTTTTGCCAGATACCTCAGACTGCCAGTGCTTTGGACGTGAGTCCATACTCCTCACCCATCCTTGTGACTTGCAATTTAACATCCACTGAGTGCAAAGAAACTGTAGGATAAAATATATTGGCCATACAGGTACTGTTTTTCCCTACTCACCTCATGTGCTGACAGACGGAACTGCACATAAAAAGCCATCTCTGAAGGCTGTCAGACACACACTTGCTTCTGAAACATGAACTGAGGTGATTGCTAAGACCTGAGCTTGTGTTCATGGTGCTCCCATCAGCAAGGCAGAACACAAGCCCAACACCCATCACAGCCTCTCTGAACCCTGCACTGCAGGCTGTCAGTCTAGCCAGGAACCCAGCAATCTCATTTATGCAAAAACAAAAACAGAAAGACGGCTCCTCCTGATGGGAATAAAAATTAATTCCAGCCAAGCAGCATAGATCCTGAATTGCAAATTACAATGACAATATTTCCTTGTTCAAAAGAGACTGTCTCATGCCAAAGAAATGCCATTAGCATCAGAAACCCCATCTAAATAAATCACTGGTGAAAACTCCAGAAATGGGACACAAAAGCAAGGAAAAGGCTAGGGCCTTCTTTGTAAAGAACTCACCACACTGGAGTGAAACAGACCCACAGTAAACAAGGGACATTTTGTTTCAAAAAGTATACTTTGGGCAGTAGGACAAATGTGTGATTTGTATCTTGGCAGCGCTCCCAAATGCATGCTGCACAAAAGACTGGTGATGTAATTATGGTCACCGCAGACCCAAAGATCTGGGTTCTGTTCCTGGCTCTACCCCAGCCCCTGTGTCACTCCAGGATTATTTCCTCTGGCCAGGATTCATCTCGCCTCACTTTCGCCATCTAAAAGACAGGCATCTAGGCGAGGTGCTCTGCCTAGGCTCATGCTGCAGCCCATGGGGAGAGACCACCCCGTCCAGCGGGCTACTTAGCTCCTCTCTTGGACACCAGGCTTACAGCAGGATGGATGGCCTCTGGATGTGCTGATCCCTCACTGCTGACTAAAGGGGAAGCTTAGGGCAGAGAATCAGCTCCTAGCTGTTAGCTGGCTACAGCTGGCTGAGATGAACTATGCCCTCTGTGTCTGCTATAAAAATGGGATAAGAAGTCTTCTGGATCTCTTGCCCACTTAGGCGGCAAGCCACTGATGTAGGGGCTCCTACATCTGCACCTGTGTATTGCCCTTGGCACAACAGACCCTGGCAGAACTGACACAAACAACAAATACTTCTGCACAACCCAGAAAGCACACATCAGGGTCTTAGTGTAACAAGTTAGGGCAACTGTCTGAACAGGCTAAGCAGGGAGGTTACCATCCTTGAGCTTGTATCTCTCCTCCTGCACCCGGGTGGCAGGGCAGTGGGAAGGCACTGCCCGATTCCGACACTCTCTGAGCACAGGGGCTGTAAGCACAACAAGATTTTGCTGCGCTGTACAAGGTGAGGAATATCCTGAGCACTTCTCACCATGCTTTCTTTTGCAAAGGCTGATCCTAATCTTTAGAATAACTGCTGCCTGCTGAATTAAAGAGATTGTCAGGCCAATTTAGGCTTCTTTGCAAAAAAACAGGAACATTTCCAGGTCTCAGATGGAGTGAACTTGAAGAGAAAAATGTCATTTTAAGAGGAAAATGAAATGTTGCAATATTGCAAGCAGAACACAATCCTTACCAGTATAAATGAAGACAACCGATCTGATTTCATTGTCAGAGCACAGAGAAATAAATACATGAGAATGAGTATTTGGGACCACACCAAAGGTCCCTGTAGCTAAGTATCTATCTCCAAGAGTACTGAGTAGCAACTGCTTAAATACTGTAAGAATGTCAGCAAATATAGGTCTGTCCCCTTGTACGTACTCAGAGCTTCCAGCAGCTCGCAGTTACGAACTTCCTGAATCAGATGGTTTGTCCTTCCAACAACAAACTGGCCCTCCATGAATTTATCTAACCGCTTTTGAATCCACATGTATCTCTGTCCTCCAGATCACAAAGGAAGGAAAAAAAGTTCCACAATTTCATTATGTGTCGTATTATTCTGTTTTAAATTTATCTTAGCCCTGCTGCTCAATAATTTCATGAGGTCTCCCTCATTCTTGTGCTATGGGCAATAATGAACATTTGACCTCCTTTCACTTTCTCCATGCCGCTCAGGATCCTACAGAACCATACCAAGCCCCTCTGCCATGTCTGCTGTAAAAGTCCTAATCTGTTTATGCTCTCTTATACATAAGTCATTATATATATTTCTGTTCATCCTCCCTGCCCTTTTCTGGTCCTTTTCCAATCCTTCCGCAGCCTAACACACTCTTCTTCAGAGTTTACATCCAGAACTGCACACAGTAACCAAGATGTCAGTTTATCATGAATCATTTTATTGTCTTTTTAGTTTTCTATTGTTCCTACTGCTGCTTTATATGTAGTTTTCTATTTTGTTTCCATTGTATCCAGAAGTTTTGTTTTCTTTTTCTTTCATAGTAATTCTCATCAATTTTTGCTTTGCCTTTTTGACTACTGCTGAACACTACCAAGTGTTTGAAAAGAAACACGTACTTGAATGACTTCAAGGTCACTTTACTGAATAACAGCAATCTCCTTGGAGCCCAATGCCGGCCTTTTTATCCCACACACACTATATTTCTCAACAATTAATTTCATTAGTCATTTTATCACAGCTGAGAGCCCTCAGTGTTCATTCAAAAAAAGGTGTTCCCCTAAAATAAATATCAAATGACTTGCCTTGGTAGTTCAGAATATTCACAACAGATTCTAACTTTTTCAGCCCAAAGAACACTAGCAAAAATGTCCACCTGTAATTTGCAAGCACATATAGATTAACTGACATGGCTGGTGGGCAAAGATGTAGCTAATGGTAAGGCCCTCTCTTAGGCTCCCCCACTCTGTCCTCCACAAAGTATTCCTAAGGTTGGGGTATTTAGGGTAAAAATCTTAGTGCCTAATCATGCTATCTGCAATTCTCAACCACTGATTACCTGTAGCACCATGACTGATCGTTATCTCAAGGCAGACGGAGAATTATTAGTACCCTACGGAAGAGTCAGCTTTTACTTAAATAAATAAAATGCTAACACTCAGAAAAAGAAGGACAACTCTCCTGCTAGAGACAATGGAGAGACTGACTGGGTCAAAACACCTAGTCCTTCTCACAAATCTAATGACTGTAGTCTGACTGTTCTGTAGTTTGTCCTCTTCTTGCAGAAAGGAGAAGGCTCTGCTGCCTTCGCGATACTGTTCTTTTCTCAGCCCTTCTCTGCTTTGTGTCAGAGTTAACAGTAAGACCTGGGGGTACATCTTTGCAAGGAACAGATGCCCTGGAGATGTGCAGGTGAGGTTCTGCTGTGATCTTCACAAGCTCTGACAAAAAGCCAGTGGAGACTTACAATAGTTTGGGATTTTGGTCTTTCGTCTGTATTCCCTTGTTAATTAACAACACCCATCTGATGCAAAGTTGAGGCTTTAGGGTCACTGTTCACTACGTGTGAAAGCCAGCAATGTGGCTCTACAGCAACTAATAACAGTGGAGAAGAGCAGAGTCCTAGCGAGTCCCAGAAGCACCTTCAGGGAAAGAAGCTATTCATGACAGTCAGCACTCCAGGTTGAGCTAGAAAGTAGAAGAGAGTGAGAGAACCAAAGAGACAATGTTTATTCACAGGGACATTACTATCCCATCTCCACAGAAGTAAAGGCAGAGATGTGAAGACAAGAATTCAGAATATAGCAATCAGTGCATCTGTAAGCAACAAGAGATACTGAACAGGAGGAAACACAAGGCTGTTTATATGGATGGCTATGTTGTTTGAAAAAAAAAAGAAAAACGATAAACTGAGCAGGTCGATGTAATGCACACAGCAACAAAAAAAGATGAGAGAACATCAACTTGTAAGAATTTTTCATTTTTTTTCCATTTTTTCAAATTTTCCATTTCCTGAATGTGAGAGCACTAATACTGGATAGAGATTAATATGGAGTAACACAGCAACCCCTGAACCTTATGTTCATTGCTACTCAAAATTATCCCATGTCCAATCCCAGACACTACAGCAGGGAAAGTGCCTTTTCACAGCATCCAGGCCTGATGTGCCCTAATGGAGACCTCATCCTTTGAGACACTCCTGGAAGGTGTCTCCTAACAAGAAAGCAGAGAGTTTACACTTAGAGAAGTCTCTCATTATTAGCTTCTGGCAAAACATAACATACCTGGACTTTCAGCAATTAGAAGGGCAGGAACAGAGAAATCAGAGCCCACCAAGTATGAAAAAAGGGATTAAGTGGTGCTTCAAGAGGCAAGCCCTTGACCAAAGGGAGAGTCAGCACTGTCATAAGCCAAAAGCCCTGGCTAACACTGCCTATACCTACGCATTTCTGAATGATTATGTCACGGAACATTAAGGCCTAATCCCTATCCTGAGTTAAATCTCAATTTACTACTTTGAAATTAGGTGAGTCCTTGCTGTGAGATGCAATCCATGCCCCAGAGTGATCCATGATTTGATCTCAGTGCGCCTGTTTAATATTTTAAATCTCTCAATGATTCTTTTGCATTTGTTACTTACAAGAGCCATACCCCACTGCAAATAGGTCCTTGTACTTTGGGTTCCTGTAATGAGAAAATATATATAAGATTGCATTTATTATTAACCATACAGCTCCACAGAAACGCACAGTGTTTCACATATTAATATCAGAGTCCATTCTCACAGGACTGCAGAGAGTCTGAGGGCTTGACCCTTTGAACATATGCACTAGTAAAGTTTGTGTATGAGTAATTCTTCCAGACTCAAGATGCACAAAAACCCAGAAGATCAGAAGACCACAGCAGGAGATGAAAAGGATAAAAAGGGCACAGACAGACATGATGTCAATCTCCAGCACTTATTATCCATTTCATAATCATGGAAAGTTTACTTTTAAAAATGAGGTCTTCGAGGAAAGGAAAAAGGCAGGAATGTGTCAGTTTCCATCTTTCAGGGGCAAGAATAAAGGAGTAATTTACTTTACCTTCCTGCTATAAAATAATGAGGGATGCTTCAAGAGGCAGCTATCAGTTCATGAATTCATGATCATTCCCACAGACCAGGAAGGGAAATTCCCTTCTGACCCAGTTGGTGAACAGTATATTTGCTAAGGCATACTGACTATGAGTAATTAGCCATCTACTATGTTTGCTGAAGTCTCTTTATTTGAAAAACATCTACCTTCTTTACAAATTCTGCTGTGTGTGGACAGATACTGTAGGGTTTACATGGGATAAAGGTCAGTACTGTTGCTGTCCCTGAGCTCACACAGCACAACCAGTGGATAACAATTCTGTGAAATGAGTGTATGTGAAAATTATCTAATGAGTGTTTTCTCTGACTTGCTGTTCTGAATTGATAAAATAAAACCACTTCTCTTTTCATTTCTCCTCTCCTTTTTCACTTGGGCTAATACCTTGGCATCTTAATGCTCTTGCTCTATCCACTAAGTGCACTGTCACTGCTAACTATGTGAGAATAAAAAATTAGAAAAGCTTATCATGTAAGGCAATTTGGGGTCCTTCTTCCAATTTCAGGGCCATCTTTCTGTTATCCTTTCCTGGAGACAAGAATAACAGCAGCACAAACTACCTATAAAAGACGCCTTTTCTCCCAATTTTACATCTCATTTTGCTGTTATTTTGTAAGTCTCACACAACTGCATCGTTGATATTCTATTAAAGTATAATTACTGCAGTGGCTTGAAAGGACAGAGCAATCCTGCTCTGTCTCTCCATAGATCCCCTTTGGCAAGACACAGATGTGTTGACGCTGCCCCACAAACAAGTGAGAGGAAGCCTAGCTGCAGGGGAGCACAAGGCAGGAGCTGACTATGTATGTCTCATGCTCAGTGCATGAACCAAGCCAGTTCTGGGGAGATTCAAGCGTGTTAAAAAGTAAAAGGACTTATTCAGGTTGGTGATGAGTGGCTTTTTCATGGTAATAACCATGGCGATAACATCTCAGAAAAAAGAGAGTTGATATGAAAGTATCAGTGAATGGTTTTGGACTGACCAGAAATAAATATGCAAAAACCGACTGCAAAGTAAATGCCTACTAAACTGAACTGTGTAAGATCCCAGTACACAAATATCACTGTTGTCTGGGCAGCAATTGAATATGTACCATGCATAAAGGTCTTGCCTGGCATCAGTGCCTCAGCATCTTATAGTCTATGGTGATACCTGTCTGGCACATGCAATGTTTGCATTTCCCTTTCTGCTGCTTTAATTCTTTTGTGTTGATACTTGTCAAAAATGTAGTTACTATCCCTTCTCCTCCCCTGGGCTTTTCAGGATTGATTCCTACAGCATATTGTCCAAAGATACGACATGTCTATCCCAACTGCCTCAAGAAGGGACTCTTCTTTGCTCTGCTAACTGCACTCACTTTGCCCTAGCGCTGCACAGAGCCTGCTGCGCCTTCACCTTTTGCTGAATGGCACAAGCCTGGCACATTGAACCTTACATAAGGTGCTTTGCATCCAGAAGCACCAGGCATGTCTAGGCGCTGCCAAAGCAGCTGGCTGTAATTATTAAAAACAGTGTTCCCAGAGAAACTAGCCCTGCCTTGGAAGGTGCCGTGACATTCAATTCCGCTCCCCTGCGAACAACCCAGAGTAAGTTTGTAATAAAGAGACTTACCAGGAGATGGCAGTAACTGCAAGTCTCTTGGTTTTGTCATACTGGAACTTCCAGAGTGGAAGGAGGGTTCCTTCCTGGTCTCTATATTCATCCGAGGCATCCTCAAAATATTTAAAATCTAAACAAAAAAATCAAGGAAAAGGTCCCGGTGAATAAATAGGAAATAAATCAGCATTGTGCAGTGCCAGGGAAGCTTTAAAAAACACTGTTATCCTCATAGCCTCTGCACAACCCAATTGTTAGTATAAAAACTGTCTCGGTCCTGAAGTCTCAACTGCAAACCAGCATCTAAGTCCTGTAAATGCATTGTACGAAGCACTAAGTCCTCACACAAAAAAAGCTGATAATCTAAAAGCAGACAAAGGATGAACAAGAAAGCAGGAGCCCAGATTGCAGAGTCACCTCAGGCCACTCCCAGAGCTAGATGAGGCCTTTCAGGACGGAGCTGAGCAGAAATAGCAAAACCCCTGCAAAATAACATCGAGACTGAGTGTGTCACCGTGGCTGGGACCTGTATGCCAGCAGAGAGATGCTCGGCACTGTCAGCTGCCAGTAGCACCTGCCTCCAGGAGGGAAGTACGTGCTGAGGGAGCGAA